AATGTAATGGAAAGCTTTTTTTTCTTATAACTTTCACAGTCAAAACGGTTAAATATAACCTTGTCTTCAGCTCAAACAGCTTCTTCTACCGCACTTCCCGTCTGTGGAACTCCCTTCCCCTTACTTGCTTCCCCGATGACTATATACTTTTGAGATAATCTTGTGAATGTTAGAATTTATATTATTTTCGTTCTCATTACATTCATTCATTCATATATATATATATATATATATATATATATATATATATATATATATATATATATATATTGAATAAAAAGACAGACCACGTTAAGATTCCATGTAATAAGTTATTTCACCATAACCCTTTAACAGGGTTCTGGATCATCAGACTTTACTTCCAAAAGCTGAAATGAAAATGAAAAGAAATTCACGTTTTTTACGGACCTCATCAAGTATACGCAAAGTTAACGAAGTGAGGAAGTGAGGTGGGAGAGAGGATGTGAGTGTGTCATATGTATCATTTTAGTTTTCTATTTTAACCCCAGTGTGTCGGCTGGATGTTGCTCAAATCTAACGCGTCTCGTCTCTAGATAAAGGTGGCTAAGGGGTGAGCGATAAGGACTACATTAAGGAAGACGTTACAATAACCCCAATAAATTACACGACAGGTTTCATTCAAATCCTTAGACGCCCGTTAGATGCACGTTAAAGTAACGCGAACTGACGCCCGTTAGATGCACGTTAAAGTAACGCGAACTGACAGCGTCTAAGAATTTGAATCATATTTTAAATAAATAATTATATATATATATATATATATATATATATATATATATATATAGATAGATAGATAGATAGATAAACCTAGTGAGCCAGACAAAGCTACCCAGGTTTCACCTAAGTAGATCGTCAGGAAAAAGCTGGCTTTTTTTAAAACCTTTTTTCCTTCGTGATTGGCAAATCAAAAATTCGAAGGTTTTTCGAAACGAGTATAGTTACCTATATATATATATATATATATATATATATATATATATATATATATATATATGGGGGGTTTGCGTGTGTATGTGTGTGTACGTATGTGTGTGTGTGTTTGTGTATACACTCATTATGCTTAGAAAATAATGACACAGCGAGTTAACGTTTGATAAAGTTTATTTAAACTCCCCTTTACGTTTCTTGCCATTCATCCTTTTTTTTTTTTTTTTGTTACCCTTTTCTTGAATTTTTTTTTTTTTCGGCAATGGCGATTTTCTATATTTTGCTAACGCAAAAAAAAAACCTATTACGTCCTGCTTGCAATTCTTCAATATCAGACATTTTGCAAAAGTTTTATGCACAATCCCTTCGACGCAGCTCGATGCGGAGGTAAATTCCGTCCATGTCAATATGAATTGCGTCTCTGATTCTAGTTAAGGCGACTTTAATATAATTCATTGAGTTTTCTTCTTTTTTTTTTTTCAGTTCAGCATATTCTGACTCTTGTCTGGATCATTTCATATGCTTCGAGATAGCAAAAAATAAAATAAACAAAATCCTTCCCCCTCCAAAAAAACAAAAAAAACAAAAAACGAATTCATAATCATGAACTTCGCATAACGGCGTAAGTCCATTATTTTCTGAATTTCCTGCTTGCTTTATATTTCTAATTACATTTTTCTTCTTCTCTTTTTTTTCTTTTTCATTCATTCGATTAAGCTAATACATTTTTACTTGTCCATTCACGAAATGATCGCTCTCATAAATTTCTCTCTCGCCTTACACACTCTCCCTACATCTATAACTGTTGACAAACAGACTCACACACACGCATACACACAGATATATATATATATATATATATATATATATATATATATATATATATATAAAGAGACTTATATTCCTGTTTATGTATGTATGGTGTCTGTGTTTTGCTCGAATTCACTTTTTCTGCTTTAATATCCGCTCAGCGTCTGACTGATCGCGGATTCAACCAACGGCTTACTTGCATATCAATCTGCTTAACAAGCAGCCTCGTTTCCGTTTCGTTCGCACTGCCGGAGCAAATCGCCTCAGGAGAGATTCAAACTTCTCTTTGAAACATTTCGATTGGCTCCCCTGCAGCTTGTATCAAAGGAAACCTATCGACCTTCGACCACCCTTAATTTATCCTTCGTTTCGTCGTCGCTACGGTGTTTCAAGCAGAATAATTAGGACAGTCTTGGGCCTTCGTTTTTTTCTTTGACACCGCTATTTTTTTTTAACTCCCTTCACTCCCCGGCAATGTTTATTATTTTAAAAACGATGATTAGAATTTTTAATAAAACCTTAACATGTGAAGAAAGTTATATTTTTTTTTCTATTCCTGAGAATTAAGAAAAATATTAAGCTCTATTCATCTGATTGTTTCTTTACAAGAATTTTATATTTGCAACATATTCACATTAATTTTAATACAAATGTTTTAGTTTTTTTTTTTTTTAGAAAAAAACCTGATGTAACATGGCGTACGGCCGAAAAGGGTTAAACAAAACGATTTTTTTTTTGTCAGAAAGTCACTTATTTTCCCTGGATATGGGAACAGATGTATGAATTTTGTTGAAAAAGTTACACAATGTGATTCAGCTAAATACAGATGGCAGGTCGGTAGTGGGTGGGGGGCAGAGGTTAAGGTCTGCTGAAAGGTGTCAATGAGAAAATTTTCCTGAGAAAAAGACTGAAAGCAGATGACGTCAGGAAGACTGACATCATATAATGGCTCCTCCCGACAGAGGAGGGGATCTTCCAAAATTGGAAGTGTGAAATAGAAAACGAAAGAAAACGACTGGTTGAATTTTAGGAGAATTGCATAAAACCCACCTATTCGCCCGCACCACACAAGTTGGAAGGGACACCCATAAATACAAGTGCCCACGGGGCCAAAGTTAGTCGGAGGCAGTCGGAACCAGTTGCAGTAGCAGTTGCAGTCGCAGTGAGGTTGCGACCGGGAGTTAAGAGATTTCTGACATAACGCTGTTTGCCAACCTGATGAAAATAATAATAATTATCCACTGAAGAAAGACTCCGATGAAATCCTTATGCCGTCCGTGAAAGCACAAACAACAGTACTTGAAGTTAAATCCAGTTGTCGCTGAAGAAAGACTCCGACGATAAACCTTGTGCCGTTCTAGAAAGTACAGATCACAGTACTTGAGGATAAATCCAGTTGTCAAGTCTGGCCACTCTTAAAGAAGTTAACCGAAATTTTCGTTCCGTCGCCAAATATTAGAACAGGTTGGGAAAAGAAGAAAAAGAACAAAAAAGAACTGCAAATATTTTTTTTTTGTTATTTTGATATAAACATTTTATCGTGACTTATTCGGGAGTCGTCCATTTTATTTTTCAATTTTGTGTTTGCGTAGTCAACTCCTTGGTTTAGTGTGGTTAAGATACCTCAGTGGAAATTCGGCTTGACTCTCTTAAGAATAAAATCACAACATGGATAAGAGAGGTCACAGTTGAAGAGTTCAGCTTAAAGACCAGCTGCTGTGTCAAACGCCATCAACGACCGACGAGTAGGCGGACGGCTTGTTCTCTAAAATCAGGATCGATCCTGACCAAGCGAGCAGACCGGGATAGACTCGGAACGCCGCCATAACTGGTGGCCGAAGCCCGGAAAACCGTCATGCTAATACAATTGTATTAAAAATGATGCCTACTGAATCGAACTTTATAAAATGGTAAATAATAAGAATTTCGAATCGATAAGCAATTAATCGATGTTTTACTAATCATTCTAATAAACAATATAATTAATAAATAGTGTAAATCAATAATCTAATTTAGTGATTATTAATTTTGTTGCCAATTCTCAAGAACAAAGAAAATGTGTAAATTCATTTCCTTATGTTTAGGCTATATTAAAATTATAATTATCGCTTTTTTAAAACAATAAACATTGCTGAGAGGTGAAGGTAGTTAAAATAATAGCGGCGTCAACAGAAAGACATTCCCTGCTATAGAGCACTAGTAAGAAAGAAAATAGCCATTGTCATCTGTCCAAATTTCGCTTTTTTCATCTTAACCGTGTTCCACTTTCTATTGACAGTGCATGATACACTCTTATCCTTGTACATTATTTACATTATTAGGACTATTGTCCTCATCTTTGTCGCCATATTTATCACAACGTTTCGACCTTTGTACGCTCCGGACTTCTTCAAGTGGTTGGAATGTCAAACTGAACCCTTTATTTCGCTCACTGGGGTAGACTGTTCTAGTTCCACGTTTGATGGATGTCAGTTATCTCCTGCGATTTTAATAGACTTCTAACTTTACAATACGTGTAGCATTCAAAGATTTCAGTTAAAAAATGGCAAGTTCCATCAATATCCAGACATTACTGCAAATCAGTTAGACTGACACAGAAGAGATTTTGATATCTCCATTTCGTCCCCAATTTCTAACGATTATACCATTCTTACAATTAACATTTAGTCCTTTCTTCTTGCTTTTCTTTACTACCTTGACTAGGAGTCTTTCTTTTTCATATGTTGAAGTTTCCCGGCATTCATTGTCATATCGGAGGGTTGAGATTGCATTGCAGTTCAGCACACGTTTCTTTGTTTCTAACGCAATATTTGTTTCTTAATGTTTACTTTATCTTTGAGTCTGGTGTAGTTCACGAAGTCAATGCCAGGTTATTAATAAATTCCTTAAAGGAAGACAGAAAGACCTTCATTGAAGTGTTTATCAACCCGTCCATCTGTTTCTATCGATTTCGGGGGCAAAGCTTTTATGGGAAACGCTTAGCAGAGTGTCAACTAATTTCGGGAGTTACGCTAAAGTGATTACCGATTCCATGGAATAAAATTTGCTGTTTTTTTTTTCTCTTGTAGAAGTGACGAGATCAATTCTGATAACAGAAAAAAAATAGGTTAAAATTGGATAGGTTCTGGGTCGTTTCTCAGGATTTCTTCTCCTCCTCCTCCTCCTTCTTCTTCTTCTTCTTCTTCTTCTTCTTCTTCTTCTTCTTCTCCTCCTCCTCCTCCTCCTCCTCCTTCTTCTTCTTGCCATATCACGTTGAAACATCGGTTCCCGTACGATCAGAGAAGTTAAGCAACCTCGTTCCTGGTCAGGACCTGGATGGGTGACCGCTTAGGAAAACCAGGTGCTGTAAGCTTGGATGTGCGGTGGTGTAATGTAATATCGGCTCGGAATATTTAGCCGGAGAGTCGAGTTCGAATTCCCGTTAGTTTCGTTACATTCCCTTCCGCGCAAATACCCTAGGGAAATGTATGACACCACCACTTCTCTCCCAGCTATAGGTTAATTTGTAGGACTTGTATCGCTAAAAGATTATCATCTCCTAATATGAAAAAGAAAAAAATCTTTACAATCTACAAATATTTCTGGCTTTAAATAACCTGCAAAGGGTTGATAAACCGTAGAACACGATTCAATCAAACAAGTCTTCTTCTTCTTCTTCTTCTTCTTCTTTTTCTACTTCTTCTTCTTCTTCTTCTTCTTCTTCTTCTTTTTACTTCTTCTTCTTCTTTTTACTTATTCTTCTTCTTTTTCTTCTTTTTTACTTCTTTTTCTTCTTTTTCTACTTCTTCTTCTTCTACTTTTTCTTCTTTTTCTACTTCTTCTACTTCTTCTTTTTCTTCTTTTTCTACTTCTTCTTCTTCTTCTTCTTTTTCTTCTTTTTCTACTTCTTCTTCTTCTTCTTCTTCTTTTTCTACTTCTTCTTCTTCTTCTTTTTCTTCTTCTTCTTTTTCTTCTTCTTTTTGCTTCTTCCTCTTCGTCTACTTCTTCTTCTTCTTTTTCTACTTCTTCTTCTTTTTCCTTTTCTTCTTTTTCTACTTCTTCTTTTTCTTCTTCTTTTTGCTTCTTCCCCTTCTTCTTCTTCTTTTTTCTTCTTTTTACTTCTTTTCTTCTTCCTCTTCTTCTTCTTCTTCTTCTTTTCTTCTTTTCTTCTTCTTTTTTTCTTCTTCTTTTTTGCTTTTTTTCTCTTCTTCAGCTTCTTCTTCTTCTTCTTTTCTGCTTCTTCTTTTCTACTTCTTCTTCTTCTTCTTTTTCTTCTTTTTCTACTTCTTCTTCTTCTTCTTTTTCTTCTTTTTCTACTTCTTCTTCTTCTTCTTCTTTTTCTTCTTCTTTTTGCTTCTTCCTCTTCTTCTACTTCTTCTTCTTCTTCTTTTTCTTCTTTTTCTACTTCATCTTCTTTTTCTTCTTCTTTTTGCTTCTTCCACTTCTTCTACTTCTTCTTCTTCTTCTTCTTCTTTTTCTTCTTTTTCTACTTCATCTTCTTCTTCTTTTTCTTCTTTTTCTACTTCTTCTTCTTCTTCTTCTTTTTCTACTTCTTCTTCTTCTTCTTTTTCTTCTTTTCTACTTCTTCTTTTTCTTCTTCTTTTTGCTTCTTCCTCTGCTTCTACTTCTTCTTCTTCTTCTTTTTCTACTTATTCTTCTTCTTCTTTTTCTTCTTTTTCTACTTCTTCTTCTTTTTCTTCTTCTTTTTGCTTCTTCCCCTTCTTCTTCTTCTTCTTTTTCTTTTTTTTCTACTTCTTTTTGCTTCTTCTTCTTCTTCTTCTTCTTCTTCTTCTTTTTCTTCTTTTTCTACTTCTTCTTCTTTTTCTTCTTTTTGCTTCTTCCTCTTCTTCTACTTCTTCTTCTTCTTCTTTTTCTACTTCTTCTTCTTCTTTTCTTTCTTTTTCTACTTCTTCTTCTTCTTCTACTTCTTCTTTTTCTACTTCTTCTTCTTCTTCTTTTCTTCTTTTTCTACTTCTTCTTCTTTTTCTCCTTCTTTTTGCTTCTTCCTCTTCTTCTTCTTCTTCTTCTTCTTCTTTTTCTACTTCTTCTTCTTTTCTTCTTTTTCCCAACTTCTTCTTCTTCTTCTACTTCTTCTTTTCTTCTTTTTTCTTCTTCTTTTCTTCTTTTCTACTTCTTCTTCTTCTTTTTTCTTCTTTTCTTCTTCTTCTTCTTCTTCTTTTTTCTTCTTTTCTACTTCTTCTTCTTTTTCTTCTTCTTTTTTCTTTTCCTCTTCTTCTTCTTCTTCTTCTTTTCTTCTTCTTCTTTTCTTCTTCTTCTTTTTCTTCTTCTTTTCTTCTTTTTTCTTCTTCTTTTCTCTTCTTTTTGCTTCTTCCTTTTCTTCTAATTGTTCTTCTTCTTCTTCTTTTTCTTCTTTTTCTACATCTTCTTCTTCTTTTCTTCTTCTTCTTCTTCTTTTTTTCTTCTTTTGCTTCTGCCTCTTCTTCTTTTCTTCTTTTTCTTCTTCTTCTTTTCTTTTCTTCTTTTTTTCTTCTTCTTTTTTTCTTCTTCTTTTGCTTCTTCCTCTTCTTCTTCTTCTTCTTTTCTTCTTTTTCTACTTCTTCTTTTTTCTTCTTTTCTTCTTCTTTTCTTCTTTTTCTTCTTCTTCTTTTCTACTTCTTTTTGCTTCTTCCTCTTCTTTTCTACTTCTTCTTCTTCTTTTTCTTCTTTTCTTCTTCTTTTTTTCTTTTTTCTTCTTCTTCCTTTTTTCTCCTTCTTCTTCTTTTCTTTTTCCTTCTTCTTTTTCTACTTCTTCTTCTTTTTCTT